AGTGGCTTGTGAATTATTGGCTTTTGCAGCAAGCTTTTAGTATTGGAATTGGAGATACAATTGCGGATGCTTCTACAATGGAAAAAATTAATGAAACAATTTCAGCTGCAAAAACCGAGGTGAAAGAACTTATTAGGAAAGCGCAGAATAAAGATTTGGAGCCTGAACCTGGAAGGACTATGATGGAATCATTTGAGAACAAAGTGAACCAGGTGCTGAATTCGTGGTCCTTTCTTTGATGAATATGAATGTGGTTTCTTCTATGAACTCTCTTCTGATATTCTTCTCATGACTTCTCTGTTTTAGGTCCTGAACAAAGCTCGTGATGATGCCGGAAGTAGTGCGCAGAAAAGTTTATCTGAGAGCAATAATCTCAAGGCAATGGTCACTGCTGGATCAAAAGGGAGTTTCATTAATATCTCACAAATGACTGCTTGTGTGGGACAACAGAATGTTGAGGGAAAACGGATACCATACGGCTTTGTTGATCGAACACTGCCTCACTTCACAAAGGATGACTATGGGCCCGAAAGCCGTGGATTTGTGGAGAATTCATATCTCCGTGGGTTGACTCCGCAAGAGTTCTTTTTTCATGCAATGGGTGGTAGGGAAGGTCTCATTGATACTGCGGTGAAAACATCTGAGACTGGATACATACAGAGGCGACTGGTGAAAGCTATGGAGGATATAATGGTAAAATATGATGGTACTGTGAGGAACTCATTGGGGGATGTGATTCAGTTCCTTTATGGGGAAGATGGAATGGATGCTGTCTGGATTGAATCCCAAAAGGTGGAGTCATTAAAAATGAAGAAACCTGACTTCGATAAGTTCTTCAAGTATGAAATTGATGATCCCAATTGGAGTCCTAATTACATGTTGCCCGAGCATGTCGAGGATTTAAAGAACATACGGGAATTGCGTGATGTGTTTGATGCTGAAGTTGCAAAGCTTGACGGAGACAGAAAGCAACTTGGAACCGAGATTGCCACCACTGGTGACACTTCCTGGCATTTGCCTGTTAATCTTGCGAGGCTCATATGGAATGCACAGAAGACATTTAAGGTTGACACAAGAAAGCCTTCGGATATTCACCCAATGGAGGCTGTTGAAGCTGTTGATAAGTTGCAAGAAAGGCTGAAGGTTGTCCCTGGTGAGGATCGATTGAGTGTGGAAGCTCAAAAAAATGCTACTCTCTTCTTCTCAATCCTGCTCCGTAGCACTTTGGCAAGTAAGAGGGTGCTCGAGGAATACAGGCTCAGTCGTGAAGCGTTTGATTGGGTTATTGGTGAGATAGAGTCCCGTTTCTTGCAATCATTGGTTGCTCCAGGTGAAATGATTGGTTGTGTTGCAGCACAGTCTATTGGGGAGCCTGCTACTCAGATGACTCTCAACACGTTTCACTATGCTGGTGTTAGTGCAAAGAATGTCACCCTTGGTGTCCCCAGGTTGAGGGAAATCATTAACGTAGCCAAGAAAATAAAAACACCTTCTCTTTCTGTTCTTCTGCAACCAGAATGGAGCCAGACAAAGGAGAAGGCTAAAACTGTCCAATGTGCCCTGGAGTATACAACCCTGCGAAGTGTTACCCAAGCTACCGAGGTTTGGTACGATCCGGATCCCACAAGTACAATTATTGATGAGGATGCTGATTTTGTGAGATCTTATTACGAGATGCCAGATGAAGAGGTTGCACCTGAAAAGATTTCTCCTTGGCTGCTTCGTGTAGAGTTGAACCGTGAAATGATGGTTGATAAGAAACTAAACATGGCTGACATTGCTGCCAAAATCAACCTCGAGTTTGACGATGATTTAACTTGCATCTTCAATGATGACAATGCCGAGAAGCTGATTCTCCGCATCCGTATCATGAATGATGAAGCCCCTAAAGGCGAGCTTACTGATTCATCAGCTGAAGATGATGTTTTCCTGAAGAAAATCGAGAGCAACATGCTGACGGAAATGGCTCTGAGAGGTATTCCAGATATCAACAAGGTCTTCATCAAGCATGGCAAAGTAAGCAAGTTTGATGACAATGACGGATTCAAAACGGTGGAAGAGTGGATGCTGGACACTGAAGGTGTCAATCTGTTGGCTGTCATGTGTCATGAAAGTGTTGATGCCAAGAGGACAAGTAGCAATCACTTGATTGAAGTTATTGAAGTGCTGGGAATTGAGGCAGTTCGTCGTGCACTTCTTGATGAGCTCCGGGTCGTTATTTCTTTCGATGGATCATATGTGAATTACAGGCATCTTGCTATATTGTGTGATACCATGACATATCGTGGTCACTTGATGGCAATTACTCGGCATGGTATAAACAGGAATGACACTGGACCTATGATGAGGTGCTCATTCGAAGAAACTGTTGACATCCTTCTTGATGCTGCTGTATATGCTGAGTCGGATTATTTGAGGGGTGTGACTGAAAATATCATGCTAGGTCAGCTTGCACCTATTGGCACTGGAGGGTGTGCCTTGTATCTGAATGATGAAATGTTGAAGAATGCCATTGAACTGCAGCTTCCCAGTTATATGGAGGGTATGGAGTTTGGGATGACACCTGGTCGTTCTCCAATATCTGGCACTCCTTATCATGAGGGGATGATGTCTCCAAACTACTTGCTGAGCCCAAGTCTACGCCTCTCGCCTATCTCAGATGCTCAGTTTTCACCTTATGTAGGTGGTATGGCATTTTCCCCTGCATCATCGCCTGGGTACAGCCCATCATCTCCAGGCTACAGCCCTTCTTCTCCAGGATACAGTCCGACATCACCTGGATATAGTCCGACCTCGCCTGGGTACAGCCCCACTTCGCCCGGTTACAGCCCCACTTCACCAACATATAGTCCCAGTTCTCCTGGGTACAGTCCAACAAGTCCGGCCTACTCTCCAACAAGCCCATCTTACTCCCCTACCTCTCCGAGCTATAGCCCTACATCCCCCAGCTACAGCCCCACATCCCCAAGCTACAGCCCGACGTCACCGAGCTATAGTCCCACATCCCCGAGCTATAGTCCCACATCCCCTAGTTATAGTCCTACTTCTCCAGTTTACAGTCCCACTTCACCGGCGTACAGTCCTACTTCACCGGCATACAGCCCTACATCACCATCTTATAGCCCAACCTCTCCTTCCTACAGCCCTACTTCACCTTCATATAGTCCTACGTCTCCGTCCTACAGTCCAACGTCTCCTTCATATAGCCCCACTTCACCTGCATATAGCCCCACTTCACCAGGGTACAGCCCGACATCGCCGAGCTATAGTCCTACATCTCCAAGCTATAGCCCAACGTCGCCGAGTTACAATGCGCAGTCAGCAAAATACAGTCCTTCACTTGCTTACTCACCAAGCAGTCCCAGATTATCCCCTGCTAGTCCTTACAGTCCTACATCTCCAAGCTATAGGTAGGCATGAATGTTGGGAAGTAATTACTTGATTTGCATTTCACAGCAATTTGTTCATATCTTTATGGTGGTTGCAATTTTATGATCTTGGGCTAATTTTTTTATCCCTTCTGTGCAGCCCTACTTCACCTTCATATTCACCGACGTCTCCATCATACTCCCCATCAAGCCCAACATACAGTCCCAGCAGGTAATTTTTCTGGCTTCTGTTATTGCTGATTAGTGTCCAGGGTCCTATGTGGAACGACTTCTCTACGATGAGTTTTTTCTGCCCACCTGTTATCCTCACTCCATGTAATTCTGGCTTCTGTTATTGCTGATTAGTGTCTAGGGTGGAACGACTGCTCTATTTCATACGCGATGACCTTTTTGCAATGCAGTGTTTGCAAGTGAAGAAACTCATTGATTTGTGTATTTGTTGCAGCCCGAGTGCAGGGTATTCCCCAAGTGCACCGGGGTACTCACCATCATCTACAGGACAGTAAATGTGACGAGAAAGGCAAGGGATGGGTGGAACACAAATAGAATGAATGGACTTGGGGTTTGCCTGAAATGAACTGGAATACAAAGGGCAGTGTTTCACCTTGGCTCTTGTGTATAAATTGATTAAGGACATTGGTGATCAACTTTTCTTTTTCTCGTAGTGGAATATAGGAATGGATGATGAATACAATCTGAGTAGGAGGGACAGTTTGGTTTCTGGTTGCCTGTATTGTATTGAGCCAATTGCCCATCTGATTTCTAGCGGTTCTGCAATCAATCAAGTGAGAAGCTGTGGTGGAGGTGATTGAAACCATTTGCCCACTAAAATAGGAAGGTGTGGTTTGGTTGGTGTGTGAAATATGTGGAGTTGGGGCATTGCTTTTTGTCGGAAACTGTAAAAAAATGTATGTAGTTTGTTCTGCTTATTAGAGAATTGGAGTTGGGGTATGGATATTTTCTTGATCCCCTTCCTTGGCTTCTATCAGTTGTCTTGGGTTCACTTGTTAACTTACCTTGGACTTTTTGACAGTAGCAGACTAGCAGGTTGATTTATTTTGTGGATAGTGGACGTTTTGTTATCCTTGTGTTTTCTCACTTTCCATATTTTTGACAGTAGCTTACTAGCAGGTTAATTAATTCTCCCATCTTTTCAGGACTTCACTTGGAATTGAGTTTCCAATTTCCAGTGTTATATTTAGGGATGTGAATAGGCAATAGATTTAAGTAGAATGCCTATTGAGTTTTGGTGGGTTAATTGCATGGTTGGTCACTGAGATAATAAAAAAAGTCCAAGTTTGGTTACTCAAAATATTAAATCTATTGGTAGTACTTCAGTTATTGAAATCATTTATGTTTGGTCACTTTCTGTCCAACTCCGTCAATTTTTGCTTACGTGACAGTCAACTCTAAAAGTTTATTGTTAAATGTGTGACGTGACAATTAAAAAATAACTAAATATATAAATTTTAATTTTTTAAAAATTTCACCTCATTTCTAACTATTAAAAGATAAAAAAAAATCCATGTTGTTCAGATACGTGCTCCTCGGATTCTTCGAGACAAACGGGGTCATGTAACTGTAGATCCTCCGAATCTGGCCCAGATACTTCTAATCTGCCTCAACCCCGACCTCTTTCCACGAAATAGAGTACTGAATCTTGTAAAGATTCCCGGCACGATGAGGAAACAATGTCTTGGTCACCGACACCTTGTCCATCACTCCACCATACGGGTTGAAAACGAACCCTGTTTTCCTCGACTCGATCATCTTCTTCCAAATCCTCTTCCCGAAGTTGACCGATTCCGGCTGCCTACTTAGCAGGCTGCCGGGTTCGTCTCGTTGTCGAATCCCCACCAGAACAGACTGAATCCAACTCATTTCTAAGCAATCTTCCTTCTTCAACCCCAATTCAGGAAATTCCTTTCCAAGCAATCTTCCTTCTTCAAAACCGACGCTCTGACCGTGGTCTCCCCTTTCTTCGTCGTCGAACTCACCGGCTACTGGAGCATCCTCGTGAATAGATCCTCTGTTGTCTTCGGAGCCACAAACTGCCATTGATAAGCCAATTCAGTCGTGTTTTACTCCAAATACTTCTCTACCCTGAAACTCGCTCCGCAGCCACCACGAATCGCCCAGAACAGATCCTCCCCCATCGAAGCCCTGTCGAGAAGTTTTCCATTCACATCCACGATTTGGGCGTCGACAACGTTGTCGGACGAGAGGCCGTACTTCCTCAAGAGGTTCCCGTACCCGGCGCCGCTCAAGTGCCCGCCGACTCCGACCATGGGGCAGATCTCGGCGGGGAACCCAAGGATGTTGCTCTTCTGCCAGATCCGGTAGTAGAGCTCGCCGAGGGTGGTGTCAGCCTGGACCCAGCCGGATTTTGCGGTGGCATCAATTGGGATGGAGCGAAAATTGAACATGTCGAGGATGAAGAAAGGGGAGCCGGAGATGTAGGGGATTAATTCCCTAAATACACATTAAACTAAACCAAATTCCTAAACTACCACACTTATAAAAAAAATTCCCAAAATACCTAAGTTTGGAGTGGTTCGAGTTTGAGGAACTCGAACTACTAACCGGTTCGAGTGTAGAAGACTCGATCTACACGTAAATCGATGATATAAGCCTCGAACCATGAACTCGAACCACTACTTTGAAATTTCCAATCACCATAACTTTGTCCTCGGTTATCCGATCGTAGCAAACTTTTTTTTCATTTCGCATAACTTTTCGAGGACTACAACTTTTATAATAGAAATATTTTCAGAATATATGTGAAAATGTGAAAATTAAAGTTAAAGTTACTCGCAAAACCCCTTATATTAGAAACTATTCCTATTTTGAAAATTTATTCCTAGTAAATGTTGTAGTACTCAAAAAATTATGCAAAATAAAAAAAAACATTGCAACGTTTGGATTACGGAGCACAAAGTTATGATCCTCTAAAGTTTGGCAAAATCGAAAAATTGCTCGTTTAGGGGTAACAAATGACATTTTCTCGGGGCGAAGGCACGGGAAATTTTTTTATATATAGGAAATTTCTGCCAAAAGAGCAATATTTTTACAAACAAGACATTTTTGGATGGCTATCTTAGAAAACTTCATTTGCTACCCATAAATTAAACGAGCAAGTTTTCAAATTTGTCAAACTTTGGAGGATCATAACTTTGTGCTCCGCAATCCAAACGTCGCAAAGTTTTTTTTTATTTTGCATAATTTTTTGAGTACTACAACATTTACTAGGAATAAATTTTCAAAATAGGAATAGTTTTTAATATAAGGGGTTTTGGGAGTAACTTTAACTTTAATTTTCACATTTTCACATATATTCTGAAAATATTTCTATTATAAAAGTTGTAGTCCTCGAAAAGTTATGCGAAATGAAAAAAAAGTTTGCTACGATCGGATAACCGAGGACAAAGTTATGGTGATTCGAAATTTCAAAGTAGTGGTTCGAGTTCACTGAACTCGAACCACTTCAGCCCCACATGGTTCGAGGCTTATATCATCAATTTACGTGTAGATCGAGTCTTCTACACTCGAACCGGTTAGTAGTTCGAGTTCCTCAAACTCGAACCACTCCAAACTTAGGTATTTTGGGAATTTTTTTTATAAGTGTGGTAGTTTAGGAATTTGGTTTAGTTTAATGTGTATTTAGGGAATTAATCCAGATGTAGGAGAGGCCCTCGTAGTCCTGGCCGCCGCTGTGGGTCTTCAGCTGGTAGCCGACGGCCTTGGTGCAGAGGACGACGACCTGGACATGGGGGATTTTGGTCGGGGTTATGATGATTGAGGGTTTGGGGTGGAGGACTGGAGGAAGTGTGGAGGCGGAAGTAGATGAGGTTCGAAATCTTGTCTTTTGGGGCGGTGTTGGTTTCTAGGCAGTGGAGGAATGATTGGTACACGGAAGCATCGGCGGCGCCGGCGGAGGCGGACTGGTAGGATTCTGGTTTTGTGGCACTGGCCTTAGGGATGGCAATGGGTCGGGTTGGGTCGGGTTTTACCAACCCAAACCCAAACCCATGGGTTTATCTGTGAAAATACTTCGGGGTAAAACTTACTGGGTTTGAAAAACTCAAACCCAACCCAACCTGCTGGGTATCCGCGGATTCATGGGTACCCACGGATTTTTGTCGTAAAAAATTTACAATAACAAGTTCCTATCAAAATTAAAGTCAAATATCAATATCTCAAAACAAATTATCCATATTTAAAACACCATTCTAGAAAATTCAAGCAAATAACAAATTAACTATACAAATTGTTCAACACCAATCTTGAAAACTCAAGAAAATTGAAGCAAATCACAAATTATCCATAAATAACATGATTAATTGAAAACTTCTTCCTTTCAATTAAGTTTCTTCACTCTCCACTAGATAACATCAACTTCATTCTACACAATTAGAAAGAAAAAATTAGACATGTCTCCACAAACATGAATAAAATTATTTGTTTAGAATATTAAACATACCGAGAAAATTAATTATATGGGTGTGGGCGGGTACCCATGGGTCGGGTTTACCTAAACCCAAACCCAACCCAACCTGGTGAATAGTGAACTGGTTTAAACCCAAACCCGGCCCAAAACCCGTCAACACGGATTTTACCCGCGTTGACCGGGTTGGGTCAAGTGGGTACCCATGGGTTCGGGTTTTGTTGCCATCCCTAGTTGGCCTCAGCTTTAGAGAGTTTATCTGAGCGGAAAAGCCAGCAACCACCGCCGTTTGTGGCCAAGAATGCCGCGGCGGAGAACAGGAGAGAGGATTCGCCGTTTGTTCTTAATTTTAATAATTTATATTTATATTTTTATCTTTTTAATAGTAAGAAATGAGGTGAAAATTTTAAAAAATTAAATTTTATTTATTTAATTATTTTTTAATTGTCACGTCACACATTTATCGGTCAACTTTTAGAGTTGACTGCCACGTAAGCAAAAATTAACAGAGTTGGACAGAGTTACCAAACCTGAACGATTTCAGTAAACTGAAGTACCACCAATAGATTTAAATATTTTGAGGACCAAACTTGAACTTTTTTTGTAATCTCAGTCACCAACCATGCAATTAACCCGAGTTTTGGTAGAGAAAATTCAACTCAGTGGGTATTTCTTGGTGTGGGTTATATAATCGTGAATCTCCTCCCAAGATTTATATTCTTATATTGCCCAACCACAAATTAATTTGACATGACCTCCAGTTAAGAGTGTACATCTAGCCTAGTATACCCAGTGGACCAACCCGGTCCGGCTGGACCCTTAGGGTAGGGTCGGGGCAATATTTTTCTCAAGTGTAAGATCTGGTATGTACTTTTCCTCGACAATACAAGTAATCTATTGGCGAAAATTGAACTCGCGGATTGCTTTGAGTATCAGCCTGCTCATGGAACAAGTCGATGAGGAGAAACTGGAACGACGGAGTGTCCTAATGTGGTTCTTGTGGAAGGAAAGGAACGCCCAACTTTTCAACGGGGTGAAGGTGCTGGAGGAGGAAATTACGATACGGGCGTGGAGTTTTTTTTAATGATTACCAACAACAGCACCAGATACAACATGACGAGAGGGAGTGGGTAGAAGGATGGAAGAAGCCAAGCCAGGTCTAGCCGTCTAGGGGCTCATAAGATCAATACGGATGTTGTTTTTGATGAAGCAAATGGCATAAGGCTGGGGTTGGTGATTCGCGGTTCGGATGGTGCCTTGTTGTCGGCAACTAAGCGAATACAGAGAAGCTTCGAGGTGGAGATGGGTGAAGCACTAGCGGCGGATCGGAATACGGTATGCTGTTAGCATTACAGTTCTAGGTCGCGCATCCCACGTTGGAATCCGACTGCCTCCCACTAATTCAGAAGGTTGCCGCAACGACACATATACACTAGAGTCGTTTGTAGGAACATTCGTTGCATTTTTTAAGAGATAGGGGAAGGATCATGGGATCACGTTCGTAGGACGACTAATGAAGCAGCACATATTATGGTGCACTCCTAGGGATGGCAACAAAACCCGAACCCACGAGTACCCTACCCGACCCAACCCGATCAACGCGAGTAAAATCCGTGTTGACGGGTTTTGGGCCGGGTTTGGGTTTAAACCCGCTACACCATTCACGGGTTGGGTTGGGTTTGGGTTTAGGTATACCCACCCATGGGTACCCGCCTACACCCATATAATTAAATTTTTTCGTTATATTTAATATTCTAAGCAATATATATCTTTCTTAAACAACTAATCTTCTTTATGTTTGTGGAGACATATCTAATTTGATATTATGGAGTGGAGAATGAAGAAGTTTAATTGACAAAAAGGAAGAAGCTTTCAATTAATTATGTTGTTTATAGATGTTTATCTTTAATTTGAAGAATTTGTATTGATAATTTGCGGTTTGCTTGTATGCTCTAGATTAGTGTTTTTTGTATAGATAACTTGTATGAAAATTTATGGGTTTGTGTTTCGGTTTGGCAAAACCCGCCCCAACCCGACCCATTACCATCCCTATGCACTCCAACAACCTCTCATCCGATGATATACTTTGGCTTGATAGTCCTCCTTCATGTTTAGTTCACCAGCTGCAGCTGGACAATGTTATGGCGAATTCTGATTAATGAAATTGAAGCAAATATACGGTATAAAAATTTATATTGGCGAAAATAAAATAAACTTAGAAGTTGTATGTGGCATTTGATCATTGATATGAATAGAAATTGGAGATTCAAATACGAATAGCAAACACATACTATCATTACTATGTACTCCATTTGATTCGAGCATTCGAGGAAAGCTCAAAACAAAGACATAAATATTTGGCAATAATAATCAATACTAGTTTTCATTGCCCGGGCTCCGCACTGGGACTTGAGATATATAAGAACATGTCATAAAATGTTCTTTGTTCACTATATAATGTTGTTTCTATAATGATATAGGTTATTCTAAGCAAACTTTTTGAAGCTCAGACTTAATTCATCAATTAGATTGGAACTTGTTAAATTTGTACTAATTATCTATGTTTTTCAAAATAACTAATTGCAGGTTCGCATGTACCAAGTTATTAGTTTGTAATATCAAACTTTTAAAACCCCACAAATAATGTTACCCACCCAACTTGCTTGTTCATATATCCACCCAATTTTAGTGCCAACGTAATTAGGACCGAGATCTGTCCTGTATTCTTCCATTTTGTGGTTCAATTATTGTTTGTAAGACATGAATGAACATGGCAAGTACTTGTACAAGAACAAACCAGCTGAATTCCAGAATTCGAAGTACTTGTACAGAAGATTTAACCAAAACTCCCGATTGTTTTACTTTGGTGAATGTTTTTAGTCTGAAATTGTACCAATTCAGCGTCGTCCAAAAGTCCAGCGTGCA